GAATTGAGTCAGGAGGTGTTCCCCCTTTTTCAATTTTCATAGTATTTTCTTGTAATCCTTTTTATTTCTGTAAAATTGGTAGTAATGTCCCCTCCTTTTGTTTATGATTTTAGTAATTTGAATCTTTTTTTTAAATTAATTATTTTGGGCCATGTTGGGTCTTTGTTGCTGCACACGGGCTTTCTCTAGTTGCGGCAAGTGGGGCTACTCTTCGTTGTGGTGTGTGGGCTTCTTATTGCAGTGGCTTCTCTTGTTGCAGAGCATGGGCTCTAGGTGCGCAGGCTTGCTTCAGTAGTTGTGGCTCATGGGCTCTAGAGCATAGGCTCAGTAGTTGTGGCGCACGGGCTTAGGTGCTCCGCAGATGGAATCTAGAAGATTCCATCTTCCCAGACCAGGGCTCAAACCCGTGTCTCTTGCATTGGGAGGCAGATTTTTAACCACTGCCCCACCAGGGAAGCCCATCTTCTTTTTTGTTACAGTAAATCTAGTTTAAAGGTTTGTCGATTTTGTTGATCTTTTCAAAGAACCAACTTCTGGTTTTACTGATTTTTCTTTGTTTTATCTATCTCTGCTCTAATCTTTATTTTCTTCCTTTTGCTTGCTAGTTTTGTTTGTTTGTTTGTTTGTTTTTTGCTGTGCCATGCAGGATGTGGGATCTTAGTTCCCCAACCAGGGACTGGACCCACACCCCCTGCATTGAAAGTGTGGAGTCTTAACCACTGGACCACCAGGGAAGTCCAGCTTGCTAGCTTTCTTTTTCTAGTTTCTTGAAGTGTAAAAGTTAGGTTATTGATGTGAGATCTTATTTTGAATATGTTTACAGCTGTTAATTGCCCTCTTAGCATTGCTTTCACTGTATCTGATAATTTTTGGTACCTTGTATTTAGAAAATATTTTGAAACAAAAACAAGTTTCCCTTGTGAATTCTGTGAGCCATTGGTTCTTTAAGATTGTGTTAATTTCCATATGTTTGTGGATTTCCCACATTGCTTTTGCTATTGATTTCTGGTTTCCATTGTGTTCAGAAAAGAAACTATGATTTCAGTCTTCTTAAGTTTGTTAAGTGGCCTAACATATGGTGTGTCCTGGAGAATGTTCCACGTACACTTAAAAAATGTAATTTCTGCTGTTGTTGGGTGGGATATTCTGTATATGTTGATTAGGTCTGGTGGTTTTAGTGTTGTTCAGGTCCTCTGTGTCCCTAGAACTGGGGTGTCGAATGTCCAAGGATTGTGGAACTGCCTGTTTCTCCCTTCAGTTGTCAATGCTTGCTTTGTTTTCGAGCTCTGGTGTTTGGTGCCCATATGTTTGTAATTGTTATAATCTTGGTGAATGGACCTTTTTTATCAATGAATAATGTCTTCCTTTATCTCCTTTAACAGTGTTTGAATGATAGTCTTTTTTTTTTTTTTTGGCTGTATCGGGTCTGTCAGGCCACAGTTGCGGCAGGGATCTTCATTTTGGCATGTGGGATCTTCTGTTGCAGCGAGTGGGCTCTTCGTTGCAGCGCAGGCCCCTCTTTAGTTGTGGCACGTGGGCTATCTAGTTGTGGTGCGCAGGCTCAGTAGTTGTGGCACGCAGGCTTAGTTGCCCTGAGGCATGTGGGATCTTAGTTCCCTGACCAGGGATCGAACCTGAATCCCCTGCATTGGAAGGCGGATTCCTAACCACTGGACCAGCAAGGGAAGTCCCTGATAGTCTATTTTGTCTGATGTTAGTGTGGCCATTCCTGCTTTCTCTCATTATTTGCGTATCTTTTTCCATCCTTTCACTTTCAGCCTGCTTGTGTCTTTGATCTTAAATGCGTCTCTTACAAACAGTATATATAGTTGGATCACATTTTTTTTACCCATTTGGCCAATCTGTGCCTTTTGAATGGGAGAGTTTAACCTGTTTACATTTAAAGTAGTCATTGATAAGGAAGGATTTAGAGGAAACAAAACAGCAAAATTTGTCTTATAGTTTTTTTGTCTCATTCCCTCCATTCCTTTTTGTTGACTTACTTCTAAGTGACATGTTTTGACGTCCTTTTTACTTTTGTGTATTAGTCTGTGTAGCTATTTCCTCTACGGTTGCCAGGGGATTACATACGATCATAAAGCTGTTAAGTCTAATTTGTACATGATTGAAATTGGTATAAATTCAAAGACTTCTCCTGTACAGCTCTGTCCCTCCCCCAACTTTGTTATTGATTTCAGAAATTACCTCTTTAAATGTAGATTTGTAATTATTTTTATGCATCTTTTTAAACCCTGTAGTTTGCAGATCAGAATCACATACTGCTTTGGGTTTGCCAGTGTATTTGCCTTTACTGGAAGGACTCTCTCCAGGGCAGGCCTCGTGGTAACGAAATCCCTCAGCTTTTGTTTATCTGGGAGTGTCTTGATTTTGCCCTCATTGTTGGAGGATAGTTTCCTGGATGTAGACTCCTCAGTCGACAGTTTTTTCTGCCATCCCACAGCTTTCTGGCCTCTGAAGTGTGGCAGAGAAATGGGCGGGTAGTCTTATTAAGGATCCCTTGATGTGATGAGTCACTCCTTGCTGCTCTGGACTTGGTTTTTGACAGTTTTCTTCTGTGTCTTGGTGTGGGTCTGTCTGAGTTTATTGTACTTGGAGTTCAGTGAGCTGCTTGGACGTGTAGATTCATGTGTTTTGTCAAGTTGGGAGAGTCATTTCCTCAGATACTCTCTCTGCCCCTCTCTTCCTTCAGGGACTCCCACTGTGTGTCCTGCCATCTCTTCACTGGTTCTTTTCTCTGCTCAAAATCTGTTAACCCCTTTTGTGGATTTATTTCAGTTGTATTTTTCAGCTCCAGATTTTTTTGGTTCCTTTCGATACTGTTCGTCTCTCTGCCTACATGTCATTTGCCTGATAGACTTTAGTTCTTTGTGTTTCCCTCCAGGTCCTTAAGCATATTTCAGACATTTGTTTAACTGAAGTCTTCTATCAGTCCAGTGTCTGGGCTTCTCCCAGGTGTTTCTGTTGGGTTTTCCTTTGAAGAGGCTGCAGTTCCTTTGCAGCCTGGCCCCATGCTGGGGCGGCCTTCACCACCAGGCTGGGTGTGTTCGGAGTCTAGGGGCAGCTGTGTGCACGCTGCTCCTGGTTGTCTTTGGTTCTCCAAGAGTCTCACCCCAGCTCCTCCTCAGGTCCTGGATGGCCTTTTGTGTGTGTCCAGCCATAACCCCTTGCCCTGCTGCAGCCCTCGTGAGCAGCTCCCTTTCCTTCCTGGTGATCTGAGTTGGGCAAAACAGAGACCAGTCCTCCCGGCAGCCCCCAGCTAGGCTGGGATGTTGCAGATGAGGTCAGCCTGCTCCTCACAACCACGCTGGGGTGGTGGCTTTGCTGCGTTGTGCTCACTTGGTTGCTGTAGACCTGATTTGCAGAACTGGGTTAGCTCAGCTGGTTTGTAGTGGTTCACTTGCTGTTTTCACAGGGATATGAGCTTGGAGCTTCCTAGTCTGGTACTTTGCTGATGTTGCCCCAACTCTTTTGCTCCAGTTTTAAAGTTTAAACTACTGGATCTTTTCCTAAATGGCCCTGGTTCTGTGGCTTTCTGCACGCCTGCTCTTTGCACTGCACTCAGCGGGCCGTGCTCTCCCCTTCCAGGGCCCGTGCATCTCTCCAGACTTTCTGGCAAGTGCTTCAGCCTGGTGGAGTCCACGTGAGTGAGGGCAGGGGCAGGCGTGGCCAGGGCCTGGGACACCCCCTGACAGCGCTGTGCCCCCAGGTACAAGTACGAGCTCTGCCCGTTCCATAACGTGACGCAGCACGAGCAGACCTTCCGCTGGAACGCCTACAGTGGGATCCTCGGGTGAGCGGCGCTGGGGGTGGCTGCGGCTCCACCTGCCCATTGTCCACCCCACCCAGCCTCACCCACTCTGCTCCTCCCCAGCATCTGGCACGAGTGGGAAATCGCCAACAACACCTTCAGGGGCATGTGGATGAGGGACGGTGACTCCTGCCACTCCCGGAGCCGGCAGAGCAAGGTGGGCTGGGCGGGAGGGTGGGATTGGGGCCTGCTCCCCCCACCCGCTCACCAAGGTTTCCCACCAGGTGGAGCTCACCTGTGGCAAAACCAACCGGTTGGCCCACGTGTCTGAGCCAAGCACCTGTGTCTACGCACTGACGTTCGAGACGCCCCTCGTCTGCCACCCCCACTCCTTGTTAGGTGGGCGCCGGGGCCGGCAGGGGGCACTGGGGGACGTGGGGGGCAGAGGGGCTCTGCTTAGTCTGGTTTCTGTTGGATTCTCAGTGTACCCGGCCCTGCCCACGGCCCTGCAGCTGAGGTGGGATCGGCTGGAGCAGGACCTGGCGGATGAGCTGATCACAACCCAGGTGAGCGACAGGGCGGGCACCGCCTGGGCAGGGAGCAGTGCAGCTGCAGTAGTGCTCCCTCCTCGTCCTCCACCTGCAGGGCTATGAGAAGTCACTCAGGGCGATTTTTGAGGATGCTGGTTATTTAAAGACCCCAAAACAAAGTGAATCGGTGCAGCAGGAAGGAGGTGCCAAGGGCCTGGTGTTTCAGACGCTGGAGAGCTGTAACGAGGTACAGACGGCGCTCCCAGGCCTGGGACCGGCCTCCCACCAAGGGCCTGACTGCTCCATTTCAACTCCTGTTCTAGGCTCATAAAGCCCTGTCAAAGGAGATGAAAAGACTTAAAAGCATACTGACCCAGCACGGCCTCCCCTACGTGAAGCCTGCAGGTCAGTTGTGCCCAGGGGTTGGGGCTAAGCCCACCTTGGGACCTGCCGCCCTGTAGGTCAGGTCCTGACCTCCTGCCGCCTGGTGTTTTGGCAGAAACTTCCAGCTCTGAGCACTTGGGTCCCAGGACACCCACGGACAAGACAGCAGAGCTGCTACGAGGCGACCCTGGACTGCGTGGGAACACCCTGTGATCTGGGGCAGGAGGAGCAGGGTGACAGGTCACAGCCAGAGGACACCTTCCTGTTCCTTCTGTGCCAGCAGGCTCTCGGGGTTGTGTGCAAAGATGCAGACAAAATAAAGATTCAAAGTTTTAATTAATTTCCCTACTGATAAAAATAATTCCATGAATTCTGTAAACCATTGCATAAATGCTATAGTGTAAAAAAATTTGAACAAGTGTTAACTTTAAACAATTCACTACAAGTAAATGATTATGCATTATAAATACTACCTTCTGGGTTAAAAAAATTCCATTCCAATAACATTCTCCTCTAAATACTCAAAACAGACATACAGATTGGGGCTTCCATAAATTAATCCACATGAAGCATCCACACTGAGTCGTGGTCTTCTGCTGACCACAGTTACACAAATGGTGTGACAATGTAACATCACCGCTAATACTGAACACTCAGGAGCTGACAGATTCGGCAACAAGAACGGCCTCGCCGAGCACCACGCAGCTTCAGCTGCTACACCCAGCGCCCCCCTTCATCACCTGACTGCGGGGCGGTGACACCCTGAGACGCCGAGCCTGGCTGAGCCCAGCATGGGTGGCCCCTCAGAACACCAGGGCCACCGCAGACAGGCAGCAGGGGTGGGAGGGCCCCGAGGTAGCCCCGGGAGCTCCACTCTGGGTGGTTCTTTGGTCTTCCCACCACACACCTGTCCTCAGAGCCAGCGAGTGCCTGGGAGGGGGCGCCTCCAACCCCCACCCCGAACCCCACAGAAAGAACTGACCGGAATAGCTTATAAATACACCTAAAGCTTAATTGTTCTTGCTTATAATTTGAAAATATCTAGGCTAGATGTCAATAACAAACGTCCTATTTTCCCCCCAAAAGACCAAAGGCCTGAAATGGGAAACAAGTGCATAAATATTAATAAAATAAAGAATTTTAAACAGTGATAACAGTAGCACAAAATATACGTAATTTCTAAGAGCTACTAAATCATTATCAGTATAATTAGAAACAAAGTAGATTCACTACAACCAAGTCATATAGTTACCTTTAGCAGCGGGCGAGCTGCACGATGCCATGGACCCACCTTAAAAAATGACAGCTTTCCTATCAGTTTGTCTTATGTTAAAAAAAAAAAAAAGGTCTTAAACTTCTCACTATAGTAAATACATTCTAATTTGGTCACTGATAAAAATTTTTACCTAGTCACCTTGCACTTAAAAAATGCTATATAAAGTCTTTGGCACAGCCCCAAGCAGGGGGCATCCTGTCCCTTCCGGGCCAGGGCCCAGCCCCTGCTCCGCACCTGGTGGCAGACTCTGGGAAGATTCTCAAGCCAATCTGGATCTGCCACGAGCAAAGTCTGGGTCAACTACAGACAGGTTTTACTTCCTCCCAGATTCCTAGGGAAAGTGACCCAATGCAGACAGAAAAGACTGAAGCCGGCACTAAAATCTGACCCGTTCCCAGCAGCCTTTCTGCCACCCTGCCCCCGCACGGCGGCTGGGTCCTCCCCAACCCCATGGTCCCTCGAACATAACACCTGCACAAACAGATCCAGTGCAGTGTCGCCCTGGAGGCTGGCTAGGGTCTCCCACATGGGTGGAGAGAGGCTCCAGCCAGGATGCCTGCCAGCAAGCTCTGGGAAGGGGGAGCACCACATGGCTCTGCACAGTCAGTATGATGCCCGCCCCGTCGGGTCCCCCACCCCACTGCCCTGCTCACTGTCACCGCGCTGACCAAGTCCAGGGGAGAAAGGACAGCACGCAGCTCCTTGGCTTTCCTAGGCGCAGGCACTTGAGCGGGAGGCCGCAGGCGCAGGGCGCTGTCACTGACGCTCCAGTTAATGTGCACGTGTTCAGGAAATGAGTTCCCTTCATAAAATTAAAAACATCTACATGTATATGTGTCTCTCAATAATCACTCTGCTATAAATACTATTAGTTTGCACTTAATTTGGAAACTGTAAAAATCCTAGGCATTTCTCACTACTAGATAAATGCTCACTTCATAAGTACTAATTTCAGATATGAAACCTAATGTGTTTACCGTACTATGGATTAACAATAGACCGATAGGAAATACTCTGTTCACAGTACACGTATAAAGCTTCATATTATCGCATATTAAAAACATGAACCTCAAAGCAGCTTATAGCAACTTGGAACGTCTGCCTAAACTCTTCCGTCTACAAAGTGCTTCTCGGGATGTGAACTCCCAGGATCCGGTCACAGTGGCGTCAGGACCACAAACCCCGCAGAGTCACCCTGCCCGCCGAGCCCCCCACACGGCCTTCAGGGTCTGTGAGGAGAGTACGAGACCGTGGGTGGTCTGTTTGGGGCTGGGGTCCCGACGTCGGTGGCACCAGGAGGCGGGCGACAAGGCGGCCGTCACCAGGGCAGGGGCTGGCCCGCGCAGTAGGGGCACTCGGGTGCGCTGGCTGCGCACGGCTCGCAGAGCACACGATGCTGGCAGGGCCGCAGGACAGCGCTGCGGGCCCGCTCCCCGCACACCCCGCACTGCTTCGCTTGCAGCTGGAAGATCACCTGCGGGGGAGATGCAGTCAGGGGGTGCCCCGCCCCCACCCAGGCCGGGCCCAGGGTCAGGGTGGGGTGGACTCCCCTGCTGGGGGCCACCCAGGAACAAAAAGATGGGGTGGGAGAGGCTTCACCAGAAGACCCTTGGGTGGGGACGGGCTCCCGGGGCCAGAGCCACCACGTGGTGTGGGAAGAGTAGCCAGGCAGGTGGCCACACGGAGGGGCCAGGTCAGGATGGACCCCAACTTGGGACCCAGCCTCCGGCCGACAGCAGCCAAAACCTGGATGATGGCGCCTTGGAGATGGATGCGAGGTGTGCATCCCAACGGCCTGGGCCGTGAGCCAGGGAGGGGACAGTGTTTGAGAGGCAGAGCTGTGGAGCCTTCCCAATGCCCCAAGTTCTAACAAAATGCCCGGGTGTGGAAGGATTTTCCAACTAAGCTGAGGGCAGCGGCTTTCACGCTACACCAGGCAAGGGGGTGACCAGGGACCCTGGAGGGTGACCCAGGGAGGTGCCCCAAACACCACCACCAGACCTCCAGCCGTGTGACGCGACATGGCCCCTGTCCACGAGGGCATGGCCTCCAAGAGGAGGCGAAGGTGGGAGTGGACGGAAGCTGCTCGGCCGGCTCCCCACCACCTCCATGCACCCCCTCCAGTGCCTTGAAAACGAGACCCGGACTCACCCCATCCACTGCTTCCAAATCGAGGCGCAGCTGACTCTGCAGCGAATGCAGCTTCGGCAGGGGGATGGCGCTGATGTCACCACAGCCGCGCAGCCCGGGGAGCATGGAGGCCAAGCCCCGGCCCTCCAGCTCCTCCTGCAGCCGTCGGAACTGGGCCTCCACCTCATCCTTCTTCTGCAGCGCCAGCTGCCGGGCGCTGTCGGCTGCGAGCGCCCGCTCCTTGGCCTCCTTGGCCTCCCGCTGCCACGCGTCACAGGCCTGAAACCCAGGGGCTGCGTGACGGGGCCGGCAGCCGCCACACACACCTGTCTCACCTGCGCGGCGGCCCCTTCCCAGGCTCACCTGCTTCACCTGTTGCCAGGACTCCTCCCACTGCCGGATCTTCCTCTTGGCCTCCTCCAGCTGCCGCCTGACCCGCGCCAGCTCGGCACTGTTTGGACTCGCGCCTGAAGGGGCCGTGGGGCCAGCATTCAGGATGGGTGACGGGCTGGGAGAGAAGCTGCCAGAGACAAAGTCCCAGATGCTGCCGGGGACGCCATTCAAGCCTGAGTGTGGAGGAGCCGGATGTCAGCCTGCTTTTGTGCTGGGACCTCACAAGCATCTCCCCAGCAAGCTCTGGGGACCCCAATCTCTCCACCAGAAAAGGAAACAAATCCGTTTCTGTGGCTGCATCCTGGAGGCAGCAGTGCTCAGACTCTTGTCCCAGAACCCTTTACGCACTTAGAATCTGGAGGACCCCAAAGGGTTTTTGTTTGCATGGGCGACATCCATTGACATCCATGTTTCATTAGAAATTAAAACAGATACTTTAAAATATCAACTCTTTTAAAACAAAACAGATCGCATAACATTTCTCAAGGAAAGAAATTTAAATCAAGTTTCCTGTTTTTGCAAATCTGTCTGGTTCTGCGCTTGGTCTCTGGCGATATCACACCCCCGCAGCCTGCAGGTGAGACATGTCTCGCCGTGGTGGTGTCACGAGAGCGGCTCGGGGTCCCAGGCACAATGACACCCCCACAGAGGTTCAGGTGCAAACCCCAGGCCCCCTGCCCAGGGCACCTTGCGCCAAGCAGCAGACACGGGGATGGGATGGGCCACACTGTGGCCGCCTCCCGCACCTGGAGCCCCAAGAGCCCCGCTCACCGAAGGAGTTGTAGGACGGGGCTGGGGGGCCCAGCGCTCGGGGCTCCGACTTGAGGGCTTGAGGCTGCTGGGGGGGCGTCATGGCTGAGGAGACGAGCGGCCCCGACAGGGACTGGGAGAAGGAGCCGAGTGGGGAGGCGGACAGGGACGATGAGGACTGCAGGGACGGGGAGCGGGGCAGGCAGCCTGGGATGGCCACGGGCGCCGAGCCCCCCAGCGACCGCTGACCTGCGTGGGGCGGAGGGGCCGGGTTAGCGAGGGGTGGAGCAAGATCCTCTGCCCCAGGAATCCCCCAGCACCGCTCCGAGCTGATGGAGCGGGTGGTGACCGGGGCTGGGGGTGCTGGGGGGACCCCCACCCAGAGAGGCGTGGCTGCACCCCTCACTGCTCAGACACTAGGCCCTGCCCGGCCGACCTGTCCATGGGCATGGTGGTCCCAGTACTTTTTGGGCCCCCCAGAAATGGTTTCTTTTAATAATAGAAGAGGGATTTCCTTGGTGGTCCAGTGGTAAAGAATCTACCTTACAATGCAGGAGACGAGGGTTGGATCCCTGGTCAGGGTACTAAGATCCCGCATGCCTCAGGGCAACTAAGCCCTCGCGCCACAATTACTGAGCCCGGGCACCTCAATTAGAGAGCCTCCATGCCGCAAACTACAGAGCCCATGCACCACAACTAGAGAGGGAAAACCCACATGCCACAACTAGAGAGAAGCCTGTGCGCCGCAACGAAATATCCTGCATGCCTCAACTAACACCTGACACAGCCAAAAATAAATTAATTGAATAAATAATAAATAAATCTTTAAAAAAGTAACAGAAGAAGAAAGATAAACTTTTAGGTCAAACAGAATGATTCAGTATCTAATGTTAACACATTTGTCTTCATGCCAATGCAGTGGTTAAACATCTCAGAAGGGCCACAAAGCCCTGACCCCCACCTCTGCAGGGACCTCAGGGTGGGGGGTGCAGGGATGGAGACAGGACCCCTCCCACCTTAGAGCCACAACAGAAGGCCCTGGAAAGCACCGGGTGCAGGCACTACCTGTGGGTCCGAGGTCACGGCTGTCGTGCTCCTCCAGGTCCTTATCTGGGGGCACGAGGCTGATGTCACCGAGGTGAAGGTCTAAGGAGGATCCTGCAGGACAGAACCGGCGTCATCGCAGGGGAAAGCCAGGCTCTCGTGGCGGAGGGGACCCGTCTGGGCTTGGGGCCAATCTACTAGCCTCAGCAACACAGCCCTCATCTCACTGACTCAACTTCTAATCATTTGGTAAAATCTAACCAAATAAACATGCTTGACTAGTAAAGAAAATTCCAGGACGGCCACGTCCAGGGGAAAGCGGCTCACGGACGACTCAGGTGGCACCTGCGCTGACCTCCTCAGCCAGGTCACAGCAGAGACCCACATCCATTCTCCCCTGGGGCACTGAGCTGGGTGTTCTGCTGCAGCCCTCGGTGCCCCCCAGGCCTGTCTGTTAAAGGGACAGGGGAATGGAACATGGCCCCCTCGGCGCTGACCCCACCTGACACTCCCTCCTGGGGTCCTGTACCCTGGGGACCTGACACCAAGCAGGAAGCTGTCTTGGGGTGGCCAAGATCAGGCCTGCCAACCCCCGAAGTTCCCACAGCCCCACAGGGTCGACTCAGGGAAGTTGTGGACTGGGAACCGAGGGGAGGGGCTGCAGGAGCTCCTGGGGCACAGCGTGGGGCCAGAGAGACCTCCCCAGCACAAAGTCACAGGCAGGTCCGCAGCAAACCATGGTGACATCGAAGGCACAGCACACAAGGAGCTCTGCCACCTCAGAACCTTTCTCCCCAACCCCCCTCTGGGGTCTGCTCTCCCAAAGCACCCCTTCCAGGAGGCAGGTGAGCCTCTCCTGTGTGGCTCAGTCCCATGCCCCCTGCTGGCCGCAGGGCCCCTCAGTGCCCCATGACGCCTGGTCAGATGCACCAAGTCCCATTTCAAGAGGCCACAAAGGCACTCAACGCCCCCAGCCCAGGGGTGGACCATGGGGACCCTTGTCAGAACTGCCTGCTCTGGGTCAGCCTCCTACCTCTGCCCCTCCCCCAGCTGCCTGGTGCCAAGTGTCAGAGTCCCTGGACAGTGTCCAACCCAATGAGCAGCATCAAGTCAGACCCACCCCAGAGAGGAGGAAGCTCAGCTCTGACTACGCCCCCCCACCCCCTGGGGCTCAGCCAGACCCCCAGGAGCAGAGGAAGGAGGAGCCGGGAGGCTGGGGTGGCCGCATTTGATCCAAGAGTCAAGAGGGCAAGGTGGGGACTTCCCTGGCGGCACAGTGGTTAAGAATCCGCCTGCAAATGCAGGGGACACGGGTTCAATCCCTGGTCTGGGAAGATCCCACATGCCGCGAAGCAACTAAGCCTGTGCACCACAACTACTGAGCCTGCACTCTAGAGCCCGCGAGCCACAACTACTGAAGGCCACACGCCACGACTACTGAAGCCCATGCACCTAGAGCCCATGCTCCGCAACAAGAGAAGCCACCGCAATGAGAAGCCCCCACTCGCCACAACTAGAGAAAGGCCACGGCAGCAACGAAGACCCAACACAGCCAAAAATAAATAGATAAACAGATAAATTTATTAAAAAAAAAAAAAAAGAGGGCAAGGGGATGAGACTGTGGCTCTGGAACAGAGAGACCCACGCCCAGGGAGGGGGCTGCTGCCTTTCAAATGAAAGACCCTCTACCACACTCAGGGGGGAAAAACGGGGCAGGAGACGTGTGACTTCTGAGGAGTCAGGAGCCAGACACATGCAGAGCAGACTTGGGGTCCAGCCTAATGGGCAGCCCCATCCCTTCCCTGCCTGGCCCCCATGGGGACCACTGAGCCAACCACGGGAGGGCTCCCACCCGATGCCAGCGCTTAGCGGCCCACTGGGGTCCCAGCGCAGCTTCTGCCCCAGGGCGAGGCTACCATGCGCACCCGGGAAGGCGGACGAGGGGGCCCTGCGTCTGTTTCCTTCCCTGTTTCATCCCCACCACCTGCAGACACGACCTGGTCCTGGCCCCACTGGCAACGACAGCCAGGAGCACGGAATGGGGCACAGGCTCCCTCGGCCCAGAGGGATCCCCCGACTGTACGGCACTGCAGGAAGAACTATTTGAAGGGCTGGTGAACACAGGGTGGCAACCGGGCCAGGGCCCCTGGAGTTTCCACCTCTGCTCTGGGGTGTGAGGAGGCGAAAGGAGCTGAGCCTGTGACACCGGACACTGTGGACATCAATGCAGGCCCTGGGCTGGCAGCACCCCAAGCTCCTCAGTCCTGGGGCAGCAGCAGGAAGACGTGAAGCGCTGCTCACAGCGCTGTCCCAACTGTGACAATAGCGCCTGCACAGCTGGACCAGCCCCGCCAACAGTTTCATGTGACGCACCCGATGCCCACATCCAAGGATGGAGGCGACTAGAAGGTGGCCTGATGCAAGAGTGGTGACAGGAAGAAAAGACCAACCCGAGCCCCTCAGGGAGACAGCGGGGCTGGGACCGTGGGGGCAGCACCCGCCTCTGGCCTGCACAGTCCCCCTTTCCTCCTGGGGGCTCCACTCCCCTCTGTGGGTGCCCCCTCCAGGCCCTGCTTCTCAACGCTTCTTTGCAGCAAGTGCCTCCTGCTCCCCAGGATGCCTCCCGACATCTAGAAGCACGCAGGGCCATTCGTGTCCGGGAGCCGCCAAAACCAAGCACCACATACCAGGTGGCCTCCAGCAACACAATTCTACTCATGCAAATCCACTCTGGGGCCAGAGGCTGAGGTCAAGGTGCACAGGGCTGGGCTCCCTCTAAGGCTCCAGGGACTCTCCCTCCTGCCTCTTCTGCTGGCAATCCTTGGCATTCCTTGGCTTGTGGACACACCAGCCCTACCTCTGCCTCTGTCCTCATGTGGTCTTCCCTCCCCTGTGTTTGTGTGTCCAAATTTCCTTCTTATAAGAACACCAGTCATATCAAATTAGGGCCCATCCTAATGGCCTCATTTTACCTTAATTACATCTGCAGAGACTTGTTTCTTTTTTTTGGCAGCACCGCACAGCTTGCAGGATCTTAGTTCCCCAACCAGGGATTTAACCCAGGCCCGTGGCAGTGAAAGCGTGGAGTCCTAACCACTGGACCACCAGGGAATTCCCTGCAAAGACTTGTTTCTAAATAAGGTCACACTCCCAAGTACAGGGGCGGAGAGTTTACAGCGGAGGCATATCTTTTGGGGAGCACATAATTTAACTCACAACAATCGAGACCACCTGGAAACACCCCCCCACACACACACCGACCTGTCCTCTCCAGGCTGTGCTGTGGTGCTCGAACGGGTGCCTCCCGCAGACCTAGGGGCCCAGACCTGTCAGGACTCCTCCACAGACAGACCTGTCTCCTGTTAATGTGAACTCCACACAGAGGGTACAGCCTCTGGCTCCCACCTGCTCCCCAGGACATGACCACAGGCCCTGTAGCCCCTCACCCAACTCTGCCCCTAGTCGGGTGACCCCCTCCTTCTTGCTGTCCCCAGTTTCCAGCTCACTCTTTAAACTGTCACCCCAGCCTTGCCTTCCAGCCCTGCACTGTACCCCCAAACCCCTCCGGTCAAAGGTGGCCCTGTCCCTCTTTCCTCCCCTGCCTGGGGCCACATCCTGGCCCTGCCACCCTCCATGGGAGCCCGGCAGCCCCTCCTGTGCCTGGTCCACACCCGGACACAGGTGACTTCTGCAGTGCTCATCTGCAGACGCCCCAGCCGTCCCCCAGCATGGCCACACTGCCTCCTCCTAGCAGGAGTGGCCCCACTGCAGCATTGGCTCCTTATCAAACCGCACACAGGTGCCTCCTTTGAGCTGGTGCACCTGGGCCCACATGCTGAGCAGAAGCCCAGAGGAGCCCTCAACTCCTCCTCCCCTGACCCACACCAGTTAGGGCTCCCAGCTCTAGCCATCTCTGCAGGCTGCCCCTTCACCCCGACCTGCTCTGTCCCAGGAGTAACCTTTCTGTGATGACAACCTCTTCATGTCCTGAGTCCTGCCTCCCAGAAAGGATGTACCCCTTGGCGAGCCAGTCCACACTCCCCCAGCAGGACCCTTTCCCACCCTGCCCCTCCCCACCCCAGCAATGGCTCCTCCTTTGTCTTTTAAGCCATGACACTGCTGTGGGCTACAGCCTGCCACAGCTTCCATTAGCCCCACTAGTCCTGAGAAAACTCCTGCCCAGACTCCAAAACCCTTCTCAGAATCACCCCCTGCTCCATCCCTGCATGTCACCTGGACTGTGCGGTCCAGCCCAGGCCTGGACCACTGCTGGCTGATGTGCAGACTCACCCGCTGACAGCAAGCACCCTGACCCACCCACTACACGCCTGACCTTCCACCACCACCCACGCTCCCTGTGCTGGCCTGGCACATCTGCTCTGCCTGGGGTCCTGAGCTCCTGTCCTGGACATGCTGGTCAGGAGGACCTGACAACATGGACTTAGCCCTTCACACCTGGAGTGGTGGGATCAGGTTAGGGGTGGTCTGCTTCAAAGCTGGCAGAGTTCCAGAAACATTTTTTTAATAACAAAGGCACATAAAATGAAGGAAGGGATGGACGGATGGATGGAAATAAACTGTGCAGGAGCCTTTTCTTACCTTGAAGTGATTTATCTCATCCCACTCCCCCACCCCCACCCAATGACTCAGCATAAAGGGGCACCTCTGTTGCCCTGCCCCGCTCAGGTGCAGGCAGGGCACAATAGGGGCCAAATCTCACCCGACAAACCACAGCCTGTGTTGCGGAGGCGGGGGTTGGGGGGTGGCGGCGGTTACTGGCGTTCCCAGGAGGTGTCCTGGCCCACTTTTTCACCAGCACTATGTCTCTTATCCTATTACACACCCCACTGTTCCCTAAGATCAGACCCAGGTCTTCTGAGATGTTCTCTTAAAGGAAGAACTGACAACACTCAAAATCCATGTGAACCCAGTTAGGTAAACTGTGCCATGTGACCCGGAGCCCGCCTTGCCAAAGTACCAGTAACCGCACAGATGTTAACAAGCAATTAGCTGAAAGCTGCTGAGTAATGGCCCTGGCAAAGCTCGGTTCCCGACGTGACACAGCACATTCAAGAGGTGCCCAGGTCCCCAGGACCATGGGACACACGGGAACAATGCACACAGTCAGTGCTCGAATTAGAGGCCAGAATGGGGAACCCCTGACGTGGGGGTGCTCCCCTGCACCCACGGGGAGGGGGCAGGATGCCCCCTGGCGGTCTGTCCTTCCCCTAACTAGAGGATGGAGAAGCACCTGGCAAACCCGCTCACTGCTGGTCTGAGTTTCCGACAGTGCAGGCGGCGATTCGATTCGCAGCAGGACAAGGCAGGAACCCCGTCCTCCTCGGGGAGCGAGAGACCCCCTTCCGTCCTCGGGGAGCGAGAGACCCCCTTCCGCTAGGCGATGCAGGCTTCCCTGGAGAAGCCCGCGGCTGGCGCCCACGCAGGGAAGCAGCGGGCGCCTCTGCAGAGCAGGTTCCTAAAGGGGGGATGTTTGTATTCGCCTCATTCCGCAACCCCGAAGACCTTGGTACCAACCCCTGGCTGTCACACCTGGCCCGGGGCGCGGGTACCGCAGACCGGTAAGAGGAGCACCGGGAGGGGAGGGGAAAGATCTGGGGGAGGGGAGGAGGGGGAGACGCACCTCACATGGGAGCGGATTTGGCCCACCTGGAGAGACGGGAGTTGGCCCACCTGGGGAGAAGGGAAGGCGCACCTAGCACAGGGAGTTGGCGCACCGCTCTATCTGAAGCTCCGGGTAACGACGACCCGCACCCTGACGGCGCGGGACTGACGATGCTGACTCACCGTCCCGGCGTCCGGCGCCCCGCGCTGCTGCTGCTGCTGCTGCTGCCGCCGCCGCCGCTGCCGATTCAAACACGGCCCTCGCCCCGCCCGGCCCGCGCCGGCCCCGCCCCTAGTGACGCAAATGTTAGATCGCCCCGCCCCCGACTTGCCCCGCCCCGGTGACGCAAGCCTCGGGATGCCCCCGCCCCCGACATACTCCGTCCCACCCTGGTGACGCAAGCCTTAGGCTGCCCCGACCCTCACCTCCTCTTACCAGCACCTGCCCCTCCCGGCGCTGCGAGGCGGCGTGCCGGGACCCCGGACCCAGGTTGTGCGAAAACCATCGCGGGGCCGGGCTGCTTTGTTCGGATTAAAGTGGGGTCTCCGCGGCAAGTCCCGAGCCCTGCCGCCTGCCGGTTGCTCCTACCCTGCCCGCCTGCCGCGGCTCAGGCTGGACCCCACTCAGGTAAAACATGCTCAACCCAACGCCATGTGGGTCAGGATGAACAGGCCGTGACCCTGCCCTCGGAGGTCACTTAGAGTCAGCTGCCCACAGCCCTGAGGTCCCTCCACAGTCGATCTAGTCTTTCCACCCTTTGCCAGCCACCCGGCAATGAACTCCGGAGGTTCCCGCCTGTTCATATGAAGTGGAAGGCAAAAGAAAGGAACCTGCCCAGTGGCCCTGAAATGATTCCACTGAATCCATTAAACACAGAAAATCTGGAACCAGCACCTGTTTATTTCAGAGTTTACCCCTTCTATTCACGCAGTGCATTAGTAAGGATACAACCTGAATGAAACTACATGGGAAAACAATCCAGTCTACACCTGTTAGCCCCAAAGCGGGTGGGATGTGCACTCTGGGTCCTGGGTCCCAACTGCAGAAAGGCCAGCAAGGGCCCTCCTCCTGGGGCCAGAGGGCAGTTCTGAGGATTCCGTTACTTCCCAAAACTGGCGAGTATTATTGGTGCAGCCAGGTGCACCCAGACGTGGCCTGAGAGGGCCAGGTGACCCGTATGGCCCTGACAGGCACCATCTCACCCACCAGCTCCACTCTTCCCTTAGCTTTCACGACAGCCCCAACCTGGGCTCTGCGCCTCCATCCAGCTGCCAGACAGGTCCCCCGGGTCCAATCACACCAGTCATCAGTCCACAAACCCTCAAGGACTCCCAGCGGCCAAGAACCCCTCTGCAGCCGGTAGCCGTGCCCATGCCTTGTGACCTCATCCCCGCTCCTCACTCTTGTCACCGTCCCCCGTCTTCAGGTGCCCTCACCACCCCTCACAGCCCCCATTTCATTTCTCTGAAGCCTCCTGTTGTTGGTGGTCTCAGGCTGGGTGGCACTGCCCGCTCTGCCTTGCCCTGTGGGGCCTGTCCAGCTGCCCCACCTGAGGGCTCCTCATCCCCTCTGCAGCCCAAGGCCCCCAGCGAGGCAGGCATTTCCTAGACCACGGGCAACACAGCCAAAGTGGCAGGTGACCGAAAATGCTCTTCTACAAACTGAGCATGAGCATACACCATGCATACTGGAAGGCGTCAAGGGAAGTGCAAAGAGGCGTCGGGGAGATGGGAGCAGAGCCCCAGACTTACCTGGGACCACCTCGACGGCGCTGCCAGTGGGGTCAAGAGGGTGGGCACGAGCTGAGACAGTGGGCAAAGTGGTGGGCGAGGAGCCGCCTGAGCCAGTGCTGGATGCCAGGCTGGATGCGAGGCTGGAACTCATGCTGGGAGCGAGGGGGTGACCCACTGCCAACACTGCCAGGTGGCTCTGTGCAAAGACATAACAAGATGAGCCAGCGCCCTGCTCAGGGACAGCAATGTGATAGCAGCACAGTGACAGAGAATGACAGAATCGAGACGGATGGGCTGGCCCACTTTTATCCCCAAAACAAAATAAAGAAAGTCGACTACTTTTCCAGAGATTCTAGAGAAGCTTTAAACATCTGGTTAGTTACAATAACTATGACAGCAGAATCACGAGCTGTCGATCACCCAGGGACGGGAACAAATGTATCCAGGGAGTGTCCCATCTAATGATGATAATAAGAATCATGATAATAAAGATTCAGAGAAGGACGTTCACAAGCAGATGAGGCAGCCTAAGAACAACCCACCACAGACGTGAGCAGACAGCCAGCACTGCTTCTGAAGATGTCGATAAAATAATCCTGTGAGGGGCTTCCCTGGTGGCGCAGTGGTTAAGAATCTGCCTGCCAATGCAGGGGACACAGGTTGGAGCCCTGGTCCGGGAAGATCCCACATGCCGCAGAGCAACTAAGCCCGTGCGCCACAACTACTGAGCCTGTGCTCTAGAGCCCACATGCCACAACTACTAAAGCCGCGTGCCTAGAGCCCGTGCTCTGCAACAAGAGAAGCCACCGCAGTGAGAAGCCCGTGCACCGCAACGAAGAGTAGCCCCCGCTCACCGCAACTAGAGAAAGCCCGCGTGCAGCAATGAAGACCCAAAGCAGCCAAAAATAAATAAATAAATTTATTTAAAAAAATAATCCTATGACCTCATTACCCAACAAAAGAAAAAGATTGGGGCAATTCACATTATCTTTGATAGATTAAAAGAATTGGCACAATTTTGGATGAATAGCCAGTAATGTGGAGGGCACTGTGCACAGAAAAGGATGTGATAAAAATGAACCAGGACAGACCTACGAAGTCAGACCTCAGGGCTTTCCACACTGTACACAGTCATGTCTGGGTGCACACTCAGAGGCTGCTAGGAAATCAAGAGTCAGAAGCTATACTAAAGTGAAATGGTATGTCGTCTGGGTTTTGCCTCAAAATAATATAGGAAAAGTTAACCGTGGTGGGGGGGGAGGGAAGGGGTGCTATAAGACCAAGTGCAAGGAGATGGGGTTCCTAGTGAAGTTCTCATAATAAAAAGGAAATTCACTGAACAGTGTGTAAGAGACCAATCTGGCACAGAATAGCTTCTCCGAGCAAGTGTTCCCAGCCCTGAGGCCTCCTTCTTGGCGTTCACGGTCTACCCCCAGCAACTGGCTTTGCTCAAGAGAGGCCCCAGGTGACAACCCATTGCTCCATGACTGCAGAGACCCTGGGACTGATCGCCATTGTATGCTTGAGACTAAAACTTAAAAATAGTAACTCGGGGGCTTCCCTGGTGGCACAGTGGTTGAGAGTCCATCTGCCAATGCAGGGGACACGGGTTCGTGTCCCGGTCCGGGAAGATCCCACATGCCGCGGAGCGGCTGGGCCCGTGAGCCATGGCCGCTGAGCCTGCGCGTCCGGAGCCTGTGCTCCGCAACGGGAGAGGCCACAACAGTAAGAGGCCCGTGTACCGCAAAAAAAAAAAAAAGTAGTAACTCAAACTACAGAGGTCTGGAGAGCAACGTCCCCCAGCTCTCCCTGGGCTTCAGCTCAGAGGTGGGCCCACCTGCCCATCCACAACCTGGCTTTCCATCCCTCCAGCCGTGGGAGGTGTGACCACAGGCCTTCTTCCTCTCTCCCGCCGCAGCCACTGCCCCGTCCCCGGGCGAGGCAGGAATGGCAGGAACCTACCCATGGCACTGCAGACACCCCATGTTAAACCCCACGCATGGAGCCTAGCTGGGAGCTGCCGTGACTTCACCCACCCAAAAAATTCATACTGCAGGAGCACGTGCCCCCTTGAAGACATCAGGTGACACTTTGTCCTGAAAATCGATGACAACATCCTGGTTGGTCCTTTCCCTGAGGCCACCCACGGTGATTACAGATGTAGCAGGATGGGTGGAGAGTGGGGTCTCTGTCACCAGGAGAGCCAGACGTGACACAGCAAAATGGGGGAGGCGTGCCCCTCCTTACGCCAGCTTTGTCTGCACGGTTTCTCTTTTTCGTGGTAAAATACACATAACATAGCATTGACCATCTTACCACTGTTAAGCATACAATCCAGCAGTATTAAATACATTGACAGCTATGCAGCCATCACTACCATCATCTCCAGAACTTTCTCATCTTCCCAAACTGAAACTCTGTCCTATTAAACACTAACTCCCCACCCTCCCCGAGTCCCTGACACCCACCCTTCCATTCTCTGTCTCTATGAATTTGACAGCTGCAGGGACCTCATATAAGCAGGATCAAACAGGATCCCACTGTATGGGGTGGGGGGCATCCCACTGTATGGCTGCTCATTGCAGCATGTAGAATCTTGGTTCCCCAACCAGGGATCAAACCCTCACCCCCTGCAGTGGAAGTGAGGAGTCTTAACCACTGGACCGCCAGGGAAGTCCCAGGATTTGTCCTTTGTGTCTAGCTTATTTCACTGAGCATAATGTCTTTGCTGTGGACTGTGTGTCCCCCCAAAATCCGAATGTTCAAGCCCTAACCTCCAATGTGACTGTATCTAGAGATCGGGCCTTTAAGGTGACAGTTAAATGAGGTCATAAGAGGGGGTTCTGATCCGATAGGTCTGGTGTCCTTATAAGAGGAAGGGACTCCAGGGATGCACAGGCACAGAGGAAAGGATGTGCAGGCACATAGCAAGACGCCAGCCACCGGCACCACACCTGCCTACACTTTGATCTTGGATGTCCAGCCTCCAGAACTGTGAGAAAATAAATTTCCAGTATGTTAGCCAGCCAGTCTAGTGTTTTGTTATGGCAGCCTGAGCTAACACAGTCTTCAGGGTTGATCCATGTTGTAGCATGTGATGGAATTTCCTTCCTTTTTATGGCTGAATAATATTCCACTGTATGGATGGACCACATTATGCTCATCCATTCATCCGCCAATGGGCACTTGGGTTGCTCACACCTTCTGGCTTCATGAATAATGCTGCTGTGAAAATGGGTGTACAAATACCTCTTCGAGACACTGCTTGGAATTCATTTGGGTATATACCCAGAAATGGGATTGCTGGATCATAAGGTAATTCTATTTTTAATTTTTCAAGGAAACACCATACTGTTTTCCACAGCGGCTGCACCATTTTACATTCTTACCAGCAATGCAAAAAAGCTTCAATTTCTCTACATCATTGCCAACACCTGTTATTCTTTGTTTTGTTTTTTTAATAGCAGCTGTCCCCTAATGGGCATGAAGTGGTACCTCATGGTGGTTTTGGTTTGCATGTTCCTAGAGACCACTGGTATTGAGCATCTTTTCATGTGCTTGTGGGCTATTTGTGTATCTTCTTTGGAGAAATGTCTACTCAAGTCCTTGGCCCATTTTTTTTTTTTTTTTTTTTTTTTGCGGTACGCGGGCCTCTCACTGTTGCGGCCTCTCCTGTTGAGGAGCACAGGCTCCGGATGCGCAGGCTCAACGGCCATGGCTCATGGGCCCAGCCGCTCCGCGGCATGTGGGATCTTCCCGGACCGGGGCACGAACCCGTGTCCCCTGCATCAGCAGGCGGACTCTCAACCCCGGCGCCACCAGGGAAGCCCCCTTTGCCCATTTTTTAATCAGGTTGCTTGTTTTGTTGATGTTGAGTTGTAGGAGTTCTTTCTATGTTCTGAATATTAACCCCTTATCAGATAAATAATTTGCAGATATTTTTCCCATTCCATGAGCTGTCTTTTCACTCTGTTTGTTGACAGTGTCCTTTGATGCACGAAAGTTTTTAATTTCAATGAAGTCTCATTTATCTATTTTCTCTTCTGTTGCCTATGCTTTTGGTGTCACATCCATGAAATTGTTGCCAATCCCAAAGTCAGGAAGCTTTCCCATCTGCCTGTTTTTGAGTAGCAGAGACACACTCGTGTGCTAGGGTAAGCTTGGGGTGACCTGGGGACTCATCAGACTGACAACTTGGAAAGCCCGCCTGTTCGCTGAGAACTGAGTCCCCCAATTGCTCTGCTCTCACGGGGTGACACCACTGGCTGCCTCTCAGAGCGGGACAGAGCGAGTCCTGGAGGGCTGGGGTCTGCGCACCGCGGACACTGTCTCCATGGTCTCGGAGCCTGGACTCTGCAGCGATGGGCGGCTACAGCACGGAGCTGCTTTCCTCGGCAGGAACCACCGAGTGCCGCCCAGCAAGCAGGGGGTGTCTAAGAAAGGGGCCCCCTGGGAAGGAAGACAGACACTGGGGAGTGGGCTGGGCTAACCAGCGAACTGAACCGCCTCAGTTTATCAAGGAAAACACCACACGCCCTGTGTTCCCCACTCTGACCCAATGATCGAAGCCCCAGAAACAAGAGCTGCTGCTGAGGCCCAGGGACATGGGGTCCTGCGGCCGCCTCAGAGGCGATGGGAGGTCCCAGGGACAGGTGGCCAGAATTCTCCTCCAGCCAGAGCGGACGACGCCCACATGCAGGGAAGGGGTGCCTGGAGCAGCATCTGAGCACCATTCACCCGAGAGAGCCACCAGGCTGGCCTCATAGCCACGGCGTCCACTGGGCATTCCAGCCGACCCTTCAAACAGAGCGGGAACTTCAGGGGTCCCAGGGGAAATGCTGGGACCAGTGAACCTGGCCTAGGGGCCCTCTGGCTTTCCAACCGGGCCTGGCTTTGGGACAGGATGGAGGGGGTCTCTGAGTGCAGGTGAGTGCTGGCTGGTAGATGAACTTGGCCAGTCTACTCACAGCGCCCAAGGGGGAGGGCAGCTCGCACACTGGGAACCTCCCAGCCATCTTGGGCTCCCCCGCCGTGAGCCCCACTCCTTTCCAGGCCCTTCCTCCTCAGCCCTGAGACTGCGGTCACGTACCCTGTTGGTTACACTACTGTTAACATTTCATGTTTCAGATTCTTAATGAACAACTTCTCGATTTCAATCTCTTTAAAAAAAAAAAAAAAAAAGACAAGATAACTGGGTTGTATTTTTACTTTCAACCACCCTGCTGATTTCAAAAATGTGCTTCAGAAGCTTCTAATGGAAAAATAGTGCCTGAACATCTTGCCCTGAAAAATCCCCCAGGAGGTACCTTCAGGGCACTAAGAAAACCAGAAGAAAAGGAACTGTGAGGGCCTGTCCACTTGGGAATTTAAAATAAAGCTCAGAGCAGAGACAGGTGACAAGCCGCCAGAGAGAGTGAGTGCTCGCTGCGCATCCTGCCAAGCCCAGGCCTTCCGGAGCATGTAAAGCTCCCTCTGCCTTTTACAGTGATAGGAAAACAAGCATCCTTGTGTCCAGAGAAAAAAACCTGTTTCTCAAACAACTTGGTTTACCAAGCGTACAGGAAGCTATGTCGCACAGAACAGAGAGAAAGGGCCTGACTTAGCAGAAGCCTGGGGGCGGGGGCGGGGGGGGGCACGGCGGGAAGCCCCCATGTAGCCTCCCTTGGAGGAGAAAGAATGCATTGATCACTAGTTTCTGATCACTAGTTCTCTCAGAGGTGAAAACAACTCCAGACTGTGACCCGAGAGAGGGAGACCAAGCCAGGCTCACCCTGGATGCTGCCATGGGCTCAACTGTGCCCCCAAAACTCAGATGTTGGGGTCCTGACCCCCAGCACCTCTGAACGGGACCTGCTTAGAGTCAGGGTCTTTACTGAGGGAATCAAGTTAAGACAAGGTTGATGGGGGGGTCCTGATCAATAGCCTGATGTCCTGATGGAAAAGGGACCACTGGAGACAGACACAGACACAGAGGGAAGACGGCGCCTGCAGGCCAAGAACGGAGGTCCCCAAAAGGAACCAACCTTGCTGACACCCTTGTCTCCGACTTCGGGCTCCAGACGGAATCACTGCGTGTTGTTTAAGCCTCGGTCTGTGGAGCTTTGTCACGGCTGCCCCGGGGACGCTCACACAGAAGGGCCACGAAGGGCACCTCTTATTTCCCCGTGGGGGAAACTTTAAGAGGTTTTGGTTCTGTTGTTTCCAAGGTACGGCACACTTTTTAAAACATTAAAACAAAGGACACATGGAACAGATGACTTTAAGAAGAATATAAGAATGTAGCTGTTTTATAAATGGATGTTAACCAGGTCACGGCGTGAGTCAGGAGTAAGTGACAGGCTACACAGGCAGCAGTCTAGTCGCAAAGAGAACGTGAAATCTCGCCTCGGGTAGTACCTGCTTACTGTCCTGCTCGCTGGCCTTCTGGCTGCCTTCAGCAGGTGAATCTCTCCGCTTTGCCTGCAACAGAAAAAGCACTGGCTGTTGGAAGAAAAAGCAGCTGATTAAAAACACACAGAGACCTAAGCTTTGCTCGGAAGGCAGAAAAGGCTGAGGACTAGGACTTTCCTGGTGGCGCAGTGGTTAAGAATCCACCTGCCAATGCAGGGGACACGGGTTCGAGCCCTGGTCCAGGAAGATCCCACGTGCCGCGGAGCAACTAAGCCCGTGTGCCACAACTACTGAGTCTGCTCTCTAGAAGCCTGTGCACCTAGAGCCTGTGCTCCTCAACAAGAAAAGCCACCATAGTGAGAAGCCTGCGCACCGCAACAAAGACCCAACATAGCCCAAAATAAACAAACAAATAAAGGGGGGAAAAGAAAAAGAAAAGGCCAAGGACTGAAGTCCATGAAACAGAAAGGCTTTCAAATCTGCTGCCTCTGCATCAGTTTTCTTGGATTCCAGTTCCTACACCTGATGTGGATCTCTGCGTTCCTTGCCGGTCCGTGTGAAGGCAGGTGAGAGTTCCCTGAACCCACAACGGCGAACCCCAAAGAAAGCCTCCCAGGCAGGGCTGCATCTCCAGAGCCGGGAAAGTCGTGGGAAGTCCAACACCTGAGACAAATGATTTCCTGGAAGGCTATTCTCTGCCCTCACCCTTTCTGCCTGGAGACAGCCTATAAATTTCCCTTCATAAAGGTGATCCCTTCCCTCCCAAGAGGAAGGGAACAGCTTAACCACCTGAGAACGCTAATCACCCAAAGGACTGCAGGAGGCTGAGCCTCACAACAAACTCACTAAAATAACCCTCATCCTCCCTTACTTCCCCCATATCTTTACCTTCCCAAATTTAGTTCCCTGTAAGCAGAAACCCTTTTTGTCTTGTCACTTCTCCACAATTTATTGCTCTTTGTTAAAAGGGTAGATAAGCCCCCAGGTCTAGCCTCCAAATGAATAAGAAATAAACATTTTCTCCAGTTAATTTGCCTTTGGTCAGTTTAATTTGTGGGACCCCAGACACTAAACCTAAATGGATAGAGGGAACAGTTTTGGTTTTTTTTTTAAATTTATTTATTTATTTTTGGCTGTGTTGGGTCTTCGTTGCTGCGCACGGGCTTTTCTCTACTTGCGGCGAGCATGGGCTCCTCTTCGTTGCAGTGCGCGGGCTTCGCACTGCGGTGGCTTCTCTTGTTGCAGAGCACGGGCTCCAGGTGCCCGGGGTTCAGTAGTTGTGGCTCGTGGGCTCTGGAGCGCAGGCTCAGTAGTTGTGGCGCACAGGCTTAGTTGCTCCGCAGCATGTGGGATCTTCCCAGACCAGGGCTCAAATCTGTGTCCCCTGCATTGGCAGGCGAATTCTTAACCACTGCGCCACCAGGGAAGCCCGAGGGAATAGTTTTTTCCTCTCTCTCGCATGTGAAAATCCTGACTCCCATGAGCCACCTTCTGGGGAAACTGCACGAGGATGGCTTTGCATGCAGAGCTCAGGACCTGTACTCTCAGGTCAAACATAAGCATGAAAACTGCACCAAGGGACTTTCCTGGTGGTGCAGTGGTTAAGAATCTGTCTGCCAATGCAGGGGACATGGGTTCAATCCATGGTCCAGGAAGATCCCATATGCCACAGAGCAACTAAGCCCGTGTGCCATGACTACTGAGCCTGCACTCTAGAGCCCGCGAGCCACAACTACTGAGCCCACGCGCCACAACCACTGAAACCCATGCACCCTAGAGCCCACGTGATGCAACTACTGAAGCCCACGCGCTCTAGGGCCTGCATGCCACAACTACCGAAGCCCATGTGCCTAGAGCCCGTGCTCCACAAGAGAAGCTACCTCAATGAGAAGCCTGCGCACCACAATGAAAAGTGCCCCCGCTCACCACAACCAGAGAAAGCCCACGCACAGCAACGAAGACCCAACACAGCCAAAAACAAAAACAAAAAACAAAACAAAAAAACGTTCTTTAGATCTGAGTGTTATTCTGATTTTTGTGCCTAATCTTATGTTAAGTGAACTTGAACTTGTGGCGGTGGCTTAGGTCATCCCTTCCTTCCTGGTTTGATTTCTGGATTTGTAGAAGGACCCAGAAGACTCACAGAAGGCAGAGAAGAAGCCATGTTCACACAGGCCCTGACTGGGGCCCCTTCCTCCTGCCTGATGCCCAACACCCAGCTCAACTCTGAGCCCGTCCTGGTTTCTCTGGTTTCCTTGCATTCTTTTCACCCAGAAGTGACCCCCCCCACACACCCCAATTTGGTTGTTGGCCTCCGAAGGCCTTGACCAGAGACCTGAGACCCTTGCTCTAAGGAGAAGCTATATTGTGAAGAAACCAGGTTGCCCTGAAACAGCTCTGCTCGCCTTCAGGATAAAGTCCCAGAGCTCCTGCGTGGGGCCTTGTCCCCGTCCAGGGGCCCTCCTGACTCTTCCCTGGGCCTGCACCTGTGCTGGGCGGGGAGGGGAGCTCATGCTCTGCAATGTCAGCAACCCACCATCACACAGGAGCTTTCAGGTGTGCTGAGCAGGCACCCAGCTGTGCGTGAATGTTCTGGAACGGGGCAAGAGGGCGGCCGGTGAGAGCAGCTTGCCCCGGATAGAGCACAGAGTTCTTTCACTTACGTTCAGTTCTGCTGTCAAAGTTGACTGAGAGTCAGGAAAATGGGGAAGGGAAGCTGTCCTCTATTCCTCACCCCCAATTTAAACGAAAATGGTTTGTTTGGGACAGTGAGACCCATGCTGAGGTCCGAGCTTCTCCAAACACCCCAATCGACGTATTCCCTTAGGGTCACGACCAAACCACATGCCCCTGAACCCATGCCCAGAGGCGGCCCGAGTTGACCCCAGAGCCTCAGATCCCACATGATTCTTGGATGCTCAAAATCTATTTGAGCATGTGCTGAAAATGTCAGGCAGGAGGACGAGCCAGTTCCCAGTTCCAATGTTGTGGTCCTCCAGGGGAAGACTGGATGTTTCACATTGAAACACTTTGCTTGAATCTTTTTAACGGAAACTTTGTAATAGGGAAGAACAAATCTGACTCCATATTGGATTGTTTCTTTTGCTTTAACCTTTGTATTCTATTGCTTTTGCTACAAGTTAATCACTAAAAGAATGTTGCCTATAGCCTGAAATACACAGGATAGCCCATTCTCAAAGTTCTGACCTTTAAAGGTTTATCACTTTTCCATTCATATAGAGATAAAAAGTTGCAAAACAGAGCATAACATTTATCTTGTTGGAGGTTTATAGGAACGTGACCAGACCTATGCAGACAGCTTTGAGAACAAAGGATTCCAAGAAGTTCGCAACAACTAACCATACGCCCTCTCCTTTTAGTACAAAAGAAGCCTAAATTCTAACTGGGTTCTTTGGGACACTAGTCCACTGTCCTCCTGGTCTGCTGGCTTTCCGGATAAAGTTGCTATTCCTTGCCCCAACAACTCATCTTTCGACTTACTGGCCTGTCATGCGGTGAGCAGTACAACGGACTCGGTAACTTCTTGGAGGATTTTAACTTCTCCCTCAATTTCCAGTCCTGGCCTTAGGCCCACCTGAATGAGTTCTGTCTCACTTAAGAACGAGCAGAGGTGGTGGCCACACGAGGCGCTGCTGTTCATTCTGAAACGGTTACACTGACACACTCGAGTCCCACCTCAGGGTAACTGAGGACCTGTGAGGTGGGCGAATCCAGGTGCACCCTGCCTAAAGCAGCTGTGGGGCTGGAAGCCTGACCCGGGGAGCAGGGTGGGCATCACCCAGGAGAGCAGCCCAGCTCCCTGCCTCACCAAAGGAACTCAGCTGCGTCTGCAGCCAGACGTGAGAGGCAGCACGCAGAAAGTTGTGCTAAAGTCACAGCTGGTGAAGAGGAAACACTCCTCTGTGACACTCGCTACCTGGAGACAGCGCAGACCCCCACAGACTGAGGGCTGTTCCACGAGACACAGCTGCACCTCAGACGCCAATCCAAGTCCCAAGTTGTCACCTGTGCGCCTGACCAACCAGCTGTAAACCAGGGTTTCCATGACCCCCTCCTTGGGTTCCATCTACAATGGAACCCAAGCCATTGTACTATAGCTCACAGAACTCCAGGAAACATGTAACTATGTTTACTGGCTCATTATGTAATAGAGGATGTGATAAAGGACACAGATGCACAGCCAGGTGAAGAGGCACTCCGGGCAAGGTCCGGAGGGGTCCCAAGTGCAGGAGCTTCTGTCCCCGTGGAGCTGGGGTGCACCACCCTCCCGCACATGGATGTGTTCCCCAACCTGGATGCTCTCCAAACCTCATACTTTAGAGATTTTTATGGAGGGTCATCACGTGGGCACGATCCACTATTGACTCAATCTCCAGCCCCTTCCCCCTCCCCAGAGGATGGGGGTAGGGCTGAAAGTTCCAGGCTTCTAATCACACCTGGTCTTTCTTGTGACCAGCCCCATCCAGGAGCCCACCAAGAGTCACCTCACTGGAACAAAAGAATTATGAGGGTCTTGGAGTCCTGTGTGAGGAGCCAGGGGGAGAAGAGACCAATATACATATTTTCTATTATTTCACAATGTGTTTCTGTTGAGAGATGCCAGCAGGTCACATGATGTGGCCAGTTCTGGACACAGTGAGGAGAGGGTGCCGGCAGCGGGAGCCGACGCACAGCTACGTGGGCCCCACAGCCGGAAGCAAGCAGTGGGGAAGCCGCTTCCCTCTCCCCGGTCGTAGAGGAGGGATTCAAACCCAAGACAGACTCCTCAAACCCAGGACCACATCTACAGGTGATGAGACTCCAGGCATCTCTCCCCCACCAGGGTGAAGTATGCATAGTGAGGTTCATGGTTTGTCTGTTCACCCAGACTCTCTCTACACTGAAAAGGAAGCAGCGGGAACACCCACTGTGCACAAGGCTGGATTCGGGACTTGTGACAATCCTCACAAACAAATATACTCAGGATGGAGGAGGCAACCAGTAGAGAATGAGAACCTCGCCCCCCCAACCCCACCCCCCGCCACCTGCCCCAAGCACAATGCCCTCCCCTGCACGATCTTCCCGTTCAGACCTGGCAGGGCTGCCGGGCGCTCCCTGCGGGGCTGCTGCAACAGGAGACCTGAGAGAGACAAAACCAGGGCTCCCGCTCAGCCAAAGTCGCCCAACACACAGCTGGAGCCCAGCACCATGCAGGAAGATGGTGTTGCCAGGCCTGCCCTGAGGCTGTCTACGTCCTGGGCCCGAAAGTCAGGGCCAGCCCCAAACAGGATGCTTCATTACTTTTTTTAGTTTTTTAAAAAATCGCGGCAAAATTCACACAAGAGTAATTTTTAAAAAGTGAAGGATTCAGTGGCATTTGGCACATTTACGATGTTGTGCGAACCCCACCTTTATCCAGTTCCACATTTCCATCTGCAAAGGAACCCTCCCCACTGAGCCCTCACTGCCATCCCTTCCCCAGTCCTGGCACCCACTATGTGTTCTAGCACGGTGACTTTTAAGTTGCAAAATAATTAACAAAAGACAAAGGATGCCCTGAGAGTCTGTCTGCAGGGGTGGGCGCACTGTTCTGGCACCGCCCAGCAGCCGGAGGCGCCTCCTGCAGGGTCCCAGCTTCCCCGTCCAAACACCCTGGTTGTTGCTTCTTCAGGTACAAGCCACACCGAGGATCCATCCACCCTGGCCCTCAGTGGGAGCCAAGCCAGTGGCCCTCTGACCACCACCTGAAACCACGACTGTCACACCCCCTGGGAGCCACCAAGAAGGTGAGGAGGGGACTAGCTTCTGCCTCTGCCAAGCGCCGGCTCTGCTACTGGAAGAGAGTGGCAGTCCCGAATGCTCCTCCGTGCTGAAGGAGCAGTGATGAACTGTGTGCCTGGCAGGGCTCCTCTAAGCAAACCCCACCTCAGCTGTCCTCACCTTTCCTGTCCTTCTGTTTTTTCAGAAAAGCACCAAGTGGAAAGAAAGACAGGATGGGGAAACACCTGAGTTTTCTTCAGTTTCCTTCCTAGAACCAATCCCAGGCGGCCACCTCCTCAGTGACACCAACACGACAGATAAAAACGCGTGCGAGGAAGAGGATCATCCTCAGAGACGTAAGGCAGAGCCAAGGAGCCCACAACCATGCCCACGACCATGCCACAGTGACGGACGGGACGCAGGATGGAGCCCCCCATTGTCCCCTCCACCTGCACGGGCACAAGGGTCCTAACCCACAAGGCCCCCCATCTCTCACTGCACAACTCTCACTGAGACGCCTGGGTCTGCCCTCACACCTCGTTGGGGACCCGCCTCTCCTGCCCTTCAGGGATCCCCATGGACTCGGGGCCCCTCTTCACACTCAGCCAGAGACCGCGCCTCGCACATGGCCAATATGTGCGTGTCTGGCAAAAGGCAAGGCCAGGCAAGTACACCCGGGCCAGGACTCAGCCAGGATTCTTCTAGACTCTTCTATAAGGAGCCGCCAACCCTGCAGGCAGGCCGCCTCCAACCATGTCACCCAGAGATCACATCCATCCGTGTACCTAATGCTGGATTCAAACCAAACAGCAGAGCGGGCGCCCTCCTCGGGACGCCGTCCACTTACGTGTCCGGGCTGCCCGCTGGGGGCCACGGGGCCGCTGGTGGAGGTGAGGTCTCGGCAGCCCCAGTCGCTGGCCATTCCAAGACTCTCTGCCGAGAAAGGGGGTGGCAGGCTTTGAGTGGCTGCTGGCTGAGACTTTGGTTAAAAAGACCCCACAGATCAGGGAGAGCAAGCGTGCGCTAGTCTCTAACGGGTCGGCCAGAGCCGCTGTGAGCCGAGCCGACCGCATGGGACCCTGGCGTCTTCCAGAGCAAATCATGAACAATTCCAACAGCAGAAAGTAATGGAAAATTTCAACAGGAAAAGCCACCCTCCCCATTAAAATAAAAAATAGTAAAAGCAGAATTTGCAACTATGCTCATAAGAACAGGAATCCCAAATCAAAAAGCTTTAAGAGGAAGCTCTCGGGAACCCCGGGGAAGGGCCGTGTCTATGCATTTCCCGTCACCGACATGGTTTCTGCCTTTGGGGACTTTATGGGCTCACCTGGCCAAAATTACTACACTCATGGCCCTGGGGTGTCCAGAGGCAGGGCCATGTTGAGCCCCATGAAGCCCAGAGCCCCGCCGACCCTCCCAGCCGCCCCCGACCGAGGCTGAGCCCTGCCTGCTCCGGGTGCACCAAGGTACTCACTCTCCACGTGCGCAAAAGCACAGAAGGGGCCCCGAGGGCAGTGCCCGGTCTGTCGCATGTCGTTGCACTTGGTAGACTTGTAGATCTAGGAAATGAAAATAAAACAGCAAATAGAGAGGCTGGACTGGAAACCTGTTTCCGTGGGAGGCCCAGAGCTGGCTGGGCCTGGCCTCCTCCTTCCAGCTGGAGGCCCAGAGCTGGTAATCACAAGGGGGTATCCTGAAAAAGAAGGATGTGGACACCGCACCCCTCGTCCCCACTCCTCCCAGCAGTCCCAGGACGCCCTGTCTGTGCAGGGCCAGTCAGCCTGGGAAACCGTGTGGGCCTGAGGCTGCTCCTGCAGCGCCTGTCCTTGAAATCACATATCAGGTCAGCTTGTCCACTTGGCACTTCCTGAAAGATACACCTGGTTCAGTGCCTGGTATACAGCAGGTGGGCAAGAAATGCCTGTTAAGTGACCACGTGCGTCCACTCCATGGCCAGACCCAAGGCTGCTTCACTTGGGTGTGGCCCCGCAGCACAGCCTGCCCAGAAGGGACAGCGGCCTCTAGGCCCCAGACACCCTCATGGGTGCTGCCACCCGCCCCCTTCCCTGCCCGAAACACTGCTCGTTCCCTGTGGCTCTTTGACCGTCCCCTGAGCACCTGCACTGAAATTTTAAGGGTCACCAACAGAAGCAATTTCAAAAGGTCTCCAATTCAGAACTCCAAATATCAGGAATCTAAGTGTTGTTTTATGCACGCTTTGAAGCACTGAATCTCTAGACAGAAGAAACTTTTAAGAAATGAAACACCACAGCCTTTCAGACCAGGAGCCCACCCCTCCCTGGAGCCCAGGTGCCCCAGCTGGGGCACAGCTGGGCGCTCCTTCACCGCAGAGCCTGCTCCCAGACTGGCCTTGACCCTCCTGGTCCCGGTGCTCTGATGCTCTCCCATTGGTCCAGGGGCTTTGTGTGCTTGTTCGTTTTTAACACAAATCCGAGTGTGCAGCAAAGGGTTAACTCCATGGCTTCCCTGTCCACACCCGCATGCCCCAAAGGAAGGACTGGCTTTGATGGGCTCAGGGAGGTGACGTCTGAGTCCCTGGAATGTCCTGCCTGGTCGGGTCTCTGTTTACCTGGGGCCCTGGGCCATGCCACATGGTGACTTAAGGTGGGCCTGCGCCACGCAACATTGGCTCAGCCTCTGCAGGGGCCAGAGACTGAGGTTAGCCACGTCTGCTGACCGACCCCCAGTAAAAACCCTAGATGCCAAGGCTTGGGTGACTTCCCAGCTGGCAGCACTGTGAGTATGGCCACAAATACGGCCACACAGGGTGGCTAGGAGAAGGACACACCGTCCACAGTGCATGCCTGGTCTCCCCAGGACCCGCCCCTGTGGCCTTGATCCTTTGCTGATTTTAATCGCATTCTTTCCGTGTAAAGAACCATAGATGCTCAGCCCTGCGAGTCCTTTGAGCCCGTCCCTGGACCGAGGGTGCTCCCGTACCTCGGGGTGGAACTGCTGCTCTGTGCGCGAGTGGCAGTACTGACAGCTGTCCCCGCTCTCGCACCTGGAGGGCTCGCCCCACTCGTCACCGTGCTTCACGCTGGGGCAGGGGGTGGACCTGGGGGACAAGGAGGAGTCAGCGGAGGATGGATGTCCTCCCCACATGCCCTGGGGCGTCAGGCTGTCCGCACAGTGCTGAGCACACGTGCACCACCAGGGGACATGGGTGCCAGCCCTGGAAGCACTGGCCCCTTCCTCACAGGACAGGCAAAAAAAAAAGCAGGGCAGGGATTTCCCTGGCCGTCCAGTGGTTAGGACTCTGCGCTTCCACTGCAGGGGGCGTGGGTTCGATCCCTGGTCAGGGAACTAAGATTCCACATGCCGCAGAGGGCAGCCAAAAAATAAATAAATAAATAAATAAAAAGGAGTGCAGGTGCCTGGTGGAACCCAGAAGGCATTCAGGAGCCCGTTTTCATTTTCCACAAAATGTGAAGTGAGTCAGAGCCACCGATGCCACTGTGACAAGCACCTCGGAGACGCAGCCAGGCTTCCTGTAGCAGGAGGAGACCAGGCCCAGCCCCCGCCCAGCCCACCAGGGGACCACACTCTGTCTCCCCGTGAAACTATTTCAAAATTGAACCTGAGACTTTGGTCCTACAATATGAAAACCCTACCCAATACCCTCTATTCTTCAGGTACTTCCTGACAGCTTTATTGTATTGGATTTATTTAAAAAATTATCATCTGTGGGAAATAAAACTTTTATTTTTTACGATTTTCTATCCCTTTGATACACAGTAAATTCACTTCACCTTCTCAAGATGACATTGGGTGACTAAAAGCCAAAGGTTCTCTGTCCCTCAACTGAAACTACTCAGAACAGTGACTGTCATAAAAACAACTTTATCTGAAAGTGAGGGCTCTCGGGCAGGTGAGGTGGCATCCAATTATTAGAGAGAGGCTCTTTGCTCCAAGAACAAGCTCTACACAGAGCTCGGGACCCAAGGGAGGAGCGAGGTGAGGGCCAAGGTGCCCAGGCACCCCTGGGGTTCCGTGTCCCCAGTCCCCCACCCCGCCCAGTGCCAGGTCCATCCAGCAAGTTGGTAAACCCGAGGCTAAGCTGGGCACCAAGGTGAGGGCAGCTGGAGTGAGGAGGAGACGGCCTAGGAAGAGACCAGGACTGCCAGGTGCATGAAACCAGATGAGGCCCAAACCCACCACCCCGAGGACATCAGTCCCCCGGAGAGGGTGAAGTTAGGCTGTGGGCACTGGGACTCTCAGCCTCGCAAGGGCCAGTTCCTTGCCAGTAGGTGCTATTGCTGGCAGGGACACACAGGTCACAGGAGGGAGGCCGGGGGATGGGGGGAAATGGAGGAGCCACGCCCTGACCACACCTGCCGGCTGGCTGGACACCAGAGCCTCTGGGGAGAGTGAAGGGAGCAGAGGGGTGGCTGCCTAAACTAGAGCCTCGAGCCAACGTGAGTGTGAACAGAGGGGACCGCCGGGCTGGGCCCACACCAGAGAAGTCGGCCAGGGCCCTGCGGCGCCCATGGCCCAGGCTCACCTGTACTGGAACCTCCGGGGGTCCCGCCGCCGGTCCCTGCTATTGTGGAAGTGCGGGCATGCGTAGCCCTGGCGGCACAGGCGTGGCGGCTTGGGGCACTGCTCTGTCTTGTAGCTGCCTAGCACGAAGTTGGTATCTGAAAAACAGGGGTCCACACGGAAACGTGCACACGTGTGCTCACGGCAGCCACACAGCCAAAAGATGTCCATCGGCAGATGATGGGTAAACGCCATGTGGCCCAGCCATGTGGTGGAGCATCACTCGGCAATGAAGAGGAGTGAAGCACTGACACGTGCTACAACGTGGATGAGACTTTAACAATCTGAACACACAATGCTCAGTGAGAGAAGCAGACACAGAAGGCACATGTTGTATGATTCTACTTATAGGAAACATCCAAAACAGGCAAATCCATAGACAGAAAGTAGATTAGTGGGTATCAGGGGCTGGGGCTTCTTTGGGGAGACTAGATAGAGTTTTAGAACCAGATAAAAGTGATGGGTGCACAACACTGTGAACATACTAAAAACCTCTGAAATACACTTTAAAATGGCTCATTTTACACCCAATAAAGTACCATACAAATTTAAAAAATAAATAAATAAAAATAAATTAAATGGCTCATTTTAACCCCAAGGTAAATGATGGGCGCTGGGTGATGCTGACATGTCAATGCAGGCTCTCAGCTGTGACAAACATCACACTGCAGGGGGGCTGCCGTGTGTATGGAGGTACCAGGTATGTGAGGACTCCCTGAACTTTCCACAATGTGGAACCTAAAACTGCTCTAAAAAAAATAAAGTCTATTTTTTAAGTAGTTAATTTCACGTTACCTGAATTTTATCTCAAAGCAAAAATAAACACAAAAACCACCAGGGGTCATTTAAAAGCAGTAATGGATGAAAGGAGATTCTTGAAAATCATACTCATTCTTGGGTTGGTTAATAACTGACCCTCCCCATTTTTTTTTTTTTTTTTTTTTTACAAACGACATTGTTTTTAATTACACTTGCCCAGGGGGGCTGACCCTCAAGGCATGGAGGGGAAGACAGTGGAGGGAGGCTGTGTTGCCGGGCCAACCCCGGGAGCCACGCCCAGGACACGCTTCCACACCCACATTTAATGGCACCACCCCCCACACACCAAACTCAGTTCCAAATAACTGATAAAATGACAAGGGACGTGAACCACGCAGCAGGGCACAGAGAGGACAAAAGGAGTTTAAACAGAAAAGACGATTTTAAGAAAATAAAAATTGTAAGACATTTGTTCACAAGCATTGACAGAGGACCTCCAACAGACATGAGGTCCTGCGCTGAGTGGCATGAACCACAAAGAAGTGAGAGGCGTGGCAGTGCCTATGAGTCACAAGGGCTCCAGGACGCCCTTTAGTGGGTGACGGATGAACGGTCCACCCAGATGTGGAGAATTATTCAGCAATAAGAAGAAAGGTGCTAAGATAATATGAGAAAAAAAAAGAAGAAAGGTGCTACCAAGCCCCAAAGAGACACAGGGAACCCTGAATGCACAGCACTAAGTGCAAAGGCTACACACTGTGTGATCCCAACTGTAAGACAAAACAATGGGGCGAAAGATCAGTGGTCACCAGCAGTGGAGCAGAGAGGACCTTAGGGCAGTGACACTACCTGCATGACATCATAATGGAGGATCCGTGTCTTTACACATTTGCCCAAACCCGGAGAATGCACAATGCAGGGGTAAACTGTGCTGTTAATTAATAATCATGTATCAATATTGGTTGTCAATTCTAACAAATATTACCTCATCAACACAAGACATTCATGATGTGTAATTTTTTTGTTAACCGAAAACTTCCCTAAAAAATAAAATCTACTAATTAAAAATCCAAACCATGGGCGCTGAGGGTTAGTTACCCGGCCAGACCCAACCCAGCGCCTCCTCCCACCTTCCCTTCCTCAAACTCAGCCCACCTGACAGTGACAAGAGAGGACCTGTACCCCCACCTGCACCACAAAACAGAGCTCACAGGTGGAGCCTGTGGTCCAGGACCAGGGAGACCGAGGGGCTGCAACAAGAGAAGGACAAGCCCCGAGGCAGGGAGCTGTGGGCGCAGCCCTCCCTCTGTGCAATCCTCTCCCCAGAGGGACATGGCGATGCTGGGACCCCCATATATGCTGTGGTCCAGGCCCCCCACACCACAGGCGCGATGGAAGGCTAGGATCCTCAGCGCTCCTGCAGGGCCCGGCCTGAGGCCTGGGCATCAGGAAGGCCTGGGAAGTCACCTTTGTTAATTCGTCCCTGGGCCCAGGGTGGCATAGGATTCGGCGGGTGGGGGAAAGACCCTTGTAGGGAATTCATCACTGAAGTAAGCGCAGCCTTGAAGCGTTTACGCGCGTGAGAGCAAAGCCAGTCCAAGGAGACATGGCATTACTGAGGGGGTTTCTCTTAAAACCGCACCACCCTTGGGAAACATCCAAACAGGCAGCTCCACGGAGACACAGCCAGGCTAGTGGGTGCCAGGGCTGGGAAGGGGAGACCACTGATGGGCATGGGTTTCTGTCCGAGGTGATGGAAATGTTCTGGAACCAGACAGAGTTGATGGTTGCCCAACACTGTGGTGCACCAAATGCCACGGACCTGTGACTTTCAGATGGTTAAAACGGCACATTTACATGATGGGTATTTTACAATTAAGCAAACCTCACTGCCCATAGCCATCATCTGTGGAGGCTGCTGGGGACCAGGCTGGCTCTGGGACCAGCCACCTAGCAGGAGCTGTGCCAGCCGTGCAGGCCCCTCCCCCAGAGCAGCCTGGGGACCAGACGGGCTGCTGGAGGGGCTGAGGGTGATGTGCTCGAATGGAACCTTGGTCTCCCCTCCTGACCTGTAAAGGGGGCGATGAGGTCCACCATGCAGGCACTTTACAGACAGAGATGAGCCCCCCGCCCCAGCAGCGGCTGCAGGGTTACCTTGCCACCGGGGGTCCTCGCCCAGGATCTTCTCCATCAGGGCCTGGCTGGCCAAGACCCCAGGCTGCAGGTCAGGGACGCCATCCCCAGCACTGAGCTGGCCGTTCTGCAGGGCTTCCTGGGCCTGCAGCTCCCTGCAACCAAACGGCACGTGGTCACGGTGCTGCAGCCTGTCCGAAGCCTCCGACAGTGAGATAGCCACCGGCTTCTGTCACTTTATGAAGCCGCCTACGTGAGGGTTCAGGACGTGCAGCCCACAGCCTTGGGGCCCCCGTTCCAGGATGACAGTCTTGGCCCAAATCCCAAGAGCCTCAGAGCCGAGCGTGCGAGACGCCACAAGCTCCCTCGGGTCCGGGTCAGGAGGGAGGAGAAGGGTCACTTTCTCATTAGCAGTAAAATCAAGGCTCAGAAAGAGCTGCTTGAGGCAAGCAATGCCCGAAACACAGGGAGGAGAGTGGCTCCCGGCAGGACGGCCACTCACCTGATGTCACACACGGGCGGCCGCAGGTCCAGGGGGCCGTGCGCGAAGGCGCAGTGCAGCCCGTTCTTCACGCAGTGGCCCCGGGCATCTGTCTCATGGATGCATGTGCCCGTCTTATAGTAGCGCAGGTGATACTTGCGCTCCGTGTCCCCGGTCGTCCGGTGCAGGTACGGACATCTGGGAAGCAGAAGACGACATGCACCGTCTGGGCCCTGGGGCCACCACGGTGTCAACCTGCTCCCAGCAGCTGGTTCTTGTCTCCTTTTCCCAAACACCTGCTCTAGTCGGAGGATGAACAGCACTGGACAGAGCACCCGTCCCTGCTCCAGACCCTCCCCCACGGCACTCAGACCCCCACAAATCCCTCAATTACACATGGGAGAAAAATACAACACCCAAGTTACCCGAAAATCACCCTTCATAATTTTTTGAATAAAGTGGAAAACAAAGTTCCCCCATCAAGTAAGGGGCTGGCGGCCTCTCCCATCCCCCGTCCAGGTCCTTTCAGGGACCCCTCGAGGGAGGTGGAGGAGCCTGGAAGGGCTGGAGGAGGACGCTGGGGGGAGACAGGCTGGGGAGAAGCAGCTGGGGGGAGGCACGGATGGGGCAGCATCCCACAGGCCACACAAAGGCCCAGAGCCACACACTTCCAGGGAGAGCCACACGCGGCTCCCTGAGCAGCAAGGGTTAGGGTTAGGGTAAGGGCTCCCGCTGCAGGGATGTGGCAGCGGCAGAGGTGGCAGTGGCAGAGGTGGCATGGACGGTTCCAGAAGACATGGGGCAGGGCACTGAGCCCGCCTCAAGGTCAGTCCCTCCAGACAAGAGCCAGAGACCCAGAAGAAAGAGAGGGGATACGCAGAGAACTCTGAGCAGCCCCGGAGTGGCCCAAGGCCAAGGCAGAGCCATGGCTGCAAGTCCCCAGATCTAAAAACAAGGGCATCACCCCCAGAGAGGGCTGGGGAGCACTGTGTGGGGCTTGGGAAAGGTCCACTCCCACCTCGCTGCCTTGCAGGCTGTGGACCTGGGTGCTGGGAGCACCTGTGGGGGTGGGGGGCTCCCCATGCAGAGCACAGATGGATGGACAAGACCAAAAGTAAAAGAAAAAATGACTTAGGGACCAACCAGTTTAAACCCCCATCTGGTAAGATGAAGAAACAGAGGCTCAGAGTTCGGACAGCTCACCCCAGACCTTAAGGAACACCTTGGGTGTGCAGGCCATGAGAGCAGGACAGAGAGGACGCCATGCCCCGGCAAGTCCCCGGGTCCCCTGGAGCCAACCAAGCAAAAGGCAAATGCTGTGGGCCCAGAAGATCCAGATGCACTCCCGGAAGAGCTGGGGTCTCGAAGATACATGTGCCCCCACGATCACAGCAGCACGAGTCACAAGAGCTTAAAGCTGGAAATAACCCGAGTGTCCACCAGCTGATGGATGGATGAACAAAAACATGGTCCATCCAGACAGTGGAATGAGCACTGGTACAGGCTACAACAGGGATGAACCTTGAAAACATTCTGTTAAGTGAAAGAAGCCAGACACAAAAGGACAAATACTGTGTGGGTCCATTCCCATGAGGTCCCTAAAGCAGTCAAATTCATAGCAACAGAAAGTAGAGAGTGGGGGTAGGATAGGGAGGGTGGGAGGGAGGGAGATGCAAGAGGGAAGAGATATGGGGACATATGTATATGTATAACTGATCCACTTTGTTATAAAGCAGAAACTGACACACCATTGTAAAGCAATTATCCTCTAATAAAGATGTTTTAAAAAAAAGAAAGAAAAAAAGAAAGAAAAAATATATATATCATGTACTACCTAAATCTTTTTATAGCATGCTGATGAAACAGAGAATAATATATTACTGTTTCAAAGAACGTGTTTGAAAACAATTATACTAAGCATTTTCTCATTTTTATTAAGTCAATAAATATGTATTAAATATGTGAGTATAATAAACAGAATAAAGAAAACAAACAAACAAAAAAAGAAAGTAGAGGGTGGGTGCCAGGGGCTGGGGGAGGGAGAGGGGGAGTGAGTGTGTAATGGGACAAAATTTCTGTCTGGAAGGAAGAATCTGGAAATAGATGGAGGTCATGGTTGTACAACTTTGTGAATGTAATTAATGCCACTGAATTGCACATTTAAAAATGGTTAAGTGCACCACAACTACTGAGCCTGCGCTCTAGAGCCTGTGAGCCACAACTACTGAGCCCATGTGCCACAACTACTGAAGCCTGCATGCCTAGAGCCCATGCTCCGCAACAAGAGAAGTCACCACAGTGAGAAGCCCCCGCTCGCCAGAACTAGTGAAAGCCTGCACGCAGCAACGAAGATGCAACGCAGCCAAAAATAAATTAATTAATTAATTTAAAAGATGGTTAAAATGGCAAACTTTATGAATGTTATCACAACTTTAAACAAAGCCCATTGGAGACAGAGAAGAGAGAGATGGTCTCTATGTTCGTGTTGAAATACACCACACTTACAGGGAAGTGTGTCACAGGTCATACCTGGATGGCCTGTGGCATTTCACAAACTGACACCTGAGTGACAGCACCCAGTTCAAGAGGACAGAACACAGCCAGCCCCTCGGGCCCCTCACATGGGCACAAGGTGGAGGTGATGACCACACTCTCTTGTGAGTGGCGGGAACTGAAAATGAGGCAATTCCTCCAATTAACTCTGCACAAACACTTCTGGGGCAATCCCAGCTGTCGTTGCCAATCACCAAAGATCCGTGAGAAAAAGGAAAAGCAGAAGATGGAGAAAGCAGTTTACGAGACTAGCTGGTCCCCACCTTGTGAAAAGAGAAAAGAAAAAACTTAAAGAATTATGACTGCATTACATACAGACAAGAAAAAGGAAACACTGCCTGTGCAGACAGTGCTCTCTGTGCCCAAATAGGAGCTGTCTCCTTCGTGTGCTTAAAGATAAGTTCCAAGGAACATTTTCAGGACGTGTGAGTGAAATGGTCAAATATCTGCTTAGGATTTTTACTATATTAGGTACTGACGCAGCCTTGATTAAAATCCCTCACTATAGAGTTACATCTTACATTTTAAGCTCCTCCAAGAGCTCCTGTGCAACTCCTCACAAGCACTGGTGTGTAACTCAGTCTCTGGGTCCCCAGAGAGGTGAGGCTGTCATGGAGCAGTCTCTGCCACACCAAGGAACCTGTTCTAGAACAAGGAACCCCCTCCCACTTTTCACATTAATATATAGACTAATATCACTAACAAAGAATGTGTAGAAATAGAGACGCCAGGAACTCACAGAACAATGGGCTAGAGAAATAAACAAGGAACTTATAAAAGAGAAAATGCAAAGGGTCTCGACCACTGAGAGGCACTCATCTTGCTTCTGATAAGAGAAATACACCTGGAGGCCCACCTGTTCCCGGGCAAAACCCCAGGAGCAGGGCTATAGTAAACCAACACTGCTGCTGGCAAGAACGCCAAGTGAAAGGCATCAAGAGGATAGGTGCCATTACCCTCTGTCCCAGCAATCCCCAAAGACAGACTGGCACACAGAGGTAAAAAGAAGTTTTGTTCGTAATCACCAAAGGCTGGAGACAACCGAGTTGTGGGATAAACTTCAAGGGAGCTCAGCGTGGCTTGGAGGAATGGGCAGTCTGTGTGGACGGCTTTGGAGGGGGCACCAGGTGGTACCGTGAGGGAGAAGCACTAAGAAGAGGGAGTGCAGGACTTCCCTCGTGGCACAGTGGTTAAGAATCCGCCTGCCAATGTAGGGGACATGGGTTTGAGCCCTGGTCTGGGAATATCCCACATGCTGTGGAGCAACTAAGTCCATGTGCCACAACTACTGAGCCTGCGCTCTAGAGCCCGTGAGCCACAACTACTGAGCCCACATGGCATAACTACTGAAGCCCACGCGCCTAGAGCCCGTGCTCCGCAACAAGAGAAGCCACCGCAATGAGAAGCCCGCACACCACAACGAAGAGTAGTCTTCGCTCGCCGCAACTGGAGAAAGCCCGCGTGCAGCAACAAAGACCCAACACAGCCAAAAATAAAATAAATAAATAAATAAATAAATTTATTAAAAAAATAAAGAAAAGGGAGTGTCGCACCCTGTGGTTTACATCGGAAGGTGGGGGAGGGGAACAAGAATACAGATACGTCTGCTTATATCAAAAATTATGGAAGGAGGAGCTATTGTTTCATGGGGACAGAGTTTCAGTTTGAAGATGGAAAAGTTCTGGAGGTGGATGATGGTGATGGCTGCACAACACTGCAAATAAACTTAACTCCACTAAACTGTACAATTAAAAAAGCTAAGATGATAAATTTAATGTTATGTATGTTTTACTACAATAAAAAATAAAATAAAATGACTTTAATAGGAAAATGGCCATTTTGCAAAAACAGTTCCAATCTTCAGAAACACTCACAATCTACTATAAGTTAAAGCAAAAGAATTCCAGAGTCTGGGGAGAAGGGGACCAGCACATCAGAGCTGAGGCACTGCCTGTTGGTTTATCTACAGAACCCAGTCCGCATAGCCGTGCTGAAGCAGGACCACACGGACCACAGGCATCGCCAATGCGCTAACTGCAGGGTGTGGCAAAGGCTGCGCGCACCCCCACAGCTCAGGGGAGTGAATGTGGTGGGTGACACTTCCCCCATTTCCTCATGTTCCCTAATGGTCCCTCAGGTCAGCTCTAAGCATCATTTTGTTTCCTTGCCAGTACCATCACTGGGGCAACCAGAGCCCGGCCAAGGTTCCCCCTCTCGCCAGCACTGAGCACCGAACAGGCAGTATTATTTCACTAGGGGCATGTCACCTCTGCGTATTACATGACTTCAAAGCATAAGCTAAGATTAAAATATTGGAGGACATTTAATGAAAAGAAAATGGCTTCACCTAAGAACATCTAAGAGGCAAAAGGGAAAACCTTAGAGAAAACACAATGGCAGAACGTAGACCCTCACTGAAGCGGGGAAGAGGCTGGTGGGAACCCCAGGGGTCAGCCCAATACCACGTGCAGATGCTTCCTCACCACAGGAGTTCACTCATCCATCCGGGGGGGCCACTGACAGCCCTGTAGCACCTGTAATGTGATTCAGTTCCACAGACCGCCAAATTCAGGGTGGCACCTGTGGTTCTCAAAACCATCCATGACAATTAGTGACCCAATCAGTGTCAATAAAACAAGGCTCCA